CAAATTGTACCAACCTTCAGAATTTTCTCCAACATCTTCAAAGAAGCCAAAAGAATGAACAAACAAGAAACAACAAGCTAACCAGACACATGGATGCACTCAATGGGAGAGAAAGAGATGTAAGTCAGAATATACACTAAGTTTTCTTAAGAAGTTTTTTTGGTTGCTTTCTTTTTAATTATGAGATATTCTCCAAAAGGGGGCAAATTCTACAAGTCATTCCCAAGGCTTCTAAACAGATGTCTTCTAAACTGTACTAGCAGAAATTAGCATGACTGTAAAACAAACAATTATTGTTAAGCATCAACAGCCACATTACTAATTGTAGAAGAAAAGACTTTCTGAATTATATAGATTTCAGCTGAAGTGAGGGCTGTTCCCACTGATAATTAAATCCCAATATAGCTTTGGATTCACATATTTTATTCAAGAACAAGGATTTGGGGGCCTCCCCAGCAGCGCAGGGTTCGATCCCCGGCGCTCCAGGGAGCTACCCATATGGTGCAGCAGACCTCTCCTGCCTCGCCTGCTGCTCCCCTCAGCAGGGTATTTCGGTTGGTCTGCCTGTTCGGGTCCCCGCTCTATCTCTGGTGAATCCTCTCACCCCCACACCTCTGGCGTGTACCCCAGTTCTTGTATGCATAAAAAATAAATCTTAGAAAAAAAAAAGGATTTGGAAAACCACATTTTAACAACATAAAACAAATCTACATAGCACTAAAAATGACTGCCACTCGGAAGACAGGCATTTCTCAGAGAGCAGAGGGCAGACAGTCATGGAGCTTGCCCATCACAACATACCAGGGATTTATGGGTGCCTATTATGAAGCCATCATGTATACACCCCATCTAGGCAGACCATTTCTTCTACAACACTAGGGAGGTGGTGATACTGGGAGCCACTGTTTCTAGAGAAAGACAGTCTTCCTTTGTGAAGCTACCCCAAAAACAAAGAGAAACCCCACCAACTGGGAGAACATTTTTGCACCCAACACTAATGATAAAGGACTGATCACAAAAATCTGCAAAGAGCTGATGAGACTCAGCAACAACAAAGAAAATAATCCAGTCAAAAAATGGGCAGAAGAGCTAAAAAGAAACTTCTCTGAAGAGGAATTGCAAATGGCCAACAGGCATATGAAAAAATGTTCAACATCACTTGTAATCAGGGAAATGCAAATCAAAACTACCATGAGATACCATCTCACACCAGTGAGAATGGCACATATTAAAAAAACTAGCAACAACAAATGTTGGCGAGGATGTGGAGAAAAAGGAACTCTTGTGCACTGTTGGTGGGAGTGCAAACTGGTCCAACCACTATGGAGAGCTGTGTGGAGATTTCTGGACCTACTAAACATAGAGCTTCCATATGATCCAGCAATTCCACTCCTAGGTATTTACCCAAAGGACACAGAAACATCAATTCCAAAGAGCACCTGCACTCCTATGTTTATAGCAGCACTGTTTACAATAGCTAAGCTTTGGAAACAACCCAAATGCCCAAAAATAGATGACTGGATCAAGAAGATGTGGTCCATATATACCATGGAATATTACTCAGCATTCAAAAAAGATAAACACATACAATTTGCAGCAACATGGATGGCACTGGAAGGGATCATGCTTAGCGAAATAAGCCAAAAAGAAAAAGAAAAATACCGGATGGTCTCACTCATAGCAGGAATCTAGAAAACTTAAATAAGGGACCAGGAAAATGAATAACTATAAGAAAGTGAAAATCAAAATCAACAAAAAACTACGAACCAGAGACACTTTTAAGGGGGCGGGGGTGGGAGGGGAGAGATTGGGGTCAGAATGGGGGGGCTGCAATTGTATGGGGAATATAAAAATAAAATTTATTATTAAAATAAAAAAAAAAGAAATCTTTCTCATATTTGTTATCATGTAGTTCTTCATCGTTTATGACTATTAGGAAGTCAGATTAGCACCTCTGTCAAGATTGCAAAAACCTTTGCTTCCCAGCCTCACTGGTGTTTCAGTTGTCTTACTGATGAGAATTAGAGACTAAGTTGCAGCAAACATACATATATGCATACATATTTGTAGACAACATTTTTTAAGAGCACTGATATTTCTCATTTCCTCCAGCAGAGGTCAGAAAATAGCAATCCAGGAATATAAAAACATAAACCAAGAGAATATTTTACAGGGATTTTCTCTACATAGGATCATGAAAGGGCTCTTAAATTGTTTTTCTTTACCAATATTTTCCTATTGTATATTTACAATAAACATGGCACAATTATTATTTTTGTAATAATTAAAAGCAATCATTTATTTTAAATTTTATAAAGAACACTGTTGGCATAGGTATTTATCTTCTATAAATCAGGAATGCTGCTTGATTTTCCTAGCTTCACAGATTACTTGAAATAGTCTAAGAGCAGAACACGTGGCCAACACGGTGAAAAATTATTTAAGTGTAATAACGTTTCCACAATTGATGACTGAACAATCGTTTTCTTTTTTTTTTTTTTTTTTTTTTTATAAATTTTATTGTTATATTCCCCATACAATTGCAGCCCCCCATTCTGACCCCAATCCCTCCCCTCCCGCCCCCGCCCCCCTAAAAGTGTCTCTGGTTCATAGTTTTTTGTTGATTTTGATTTTCACTTTCTTATAGTTATTCATTTTCCTGGTCCATTATTTAAGTTTTCTAGATTCCTGCTATGAGTGAGACCATCCGGTATTTTTCTTTTTCTTTTTGGCTTATTTCGCTGAGCATGATCCCTTCCAGCGCCATCCATGTTGCTGCAAATTGCATGTGTTTATCTTTTTTGAATGCTGAGTAATATTCCATGGTATATATGTACCACATCTTCTTGATCCAGTCATCTATTTTTGGGCATTTGGGTTGTTTCCAAAGCTTAGCTATTGTAAACAGTGCTGCTACAATCGTTTTCAAACAAGGAAGTTAATGTCAGTCATAAGATTACCAGAAAAACAAAACGTGCTGGCCATAACCCCTGACTACCAAGAACCCCTGCATACACAAAGACGGAGAAGTGAATATAATCTCTAGTCATCTCCTTTGTCTATAGAAACGAAAGTGAGATCTTAGTGTTTGGGGAGTCAGTCTCTGCAAATTTTATATGTGATGACAAGGAACACAGAAGAAATCGATGAATATGACCTACATTTAAAAGTGAGGAACCCAAAGAAGGATGTTTACTAAAGTGCTGCTGATTGATGATCAACAAATCACACTGTCTCCATGCTACACTTTTATTTCTAATTCAATGTCTTTTTTTTTTCCTGCTAGACATATATAAGGTGAAAAGCCTTATAAAACAAAATCTGAAGGTCAACCAAAACATTTATGTGTAAGTTAAGAAAATCTTTTACCCACGTTTATTCTAAATTAGATAAATGTTTATTTCCTGTTTTATTAAATGATTCATGATGTACAATCTCTTATTTGTCCTTCTTGATATCATCACTCATAAATAATACAAGAGGATCAACACTGTTATGTAAATCAGAACTGACTGCTACTCGTTAATTCTATCTCCTACGTGAGTGATTTCTACCGTGAGGAATATGTGTCTATACCGCTTATATCTTCATATGGAGCTCAGTGAGGGGGAGAGAGGCAAGACTGATACTCAAAACCTCTGCCTGTTCTATGGGACTCCAAGGTGGGGTCCAAAGTGGTGACTCTTTGCATGTCTGTGAACATCTGTGACTTTTTCTATCAAGTGACAATGATGAAGGGAAACTAAAGATCAGGGAGATGCGGAAGTCTGAGACAGTAACATGGCAAAAGATTGGAATCCACAGAGGAGTGTGGCCAGAGAGAAATCCCTAGGGGTGCATTGGTCTAAGGGCTTATTAGAATTAGAATGTCCAACATTCAATTCTAAGCTGTTGGTGTTTCAACAATTAACCCTTCACCTCCCAACCAATATCCAACCCCCCCGGCCACCACCACTACCACCAAACCGTCAGTGCTCAAAGCATCAGAGTTCTGCACCACACAAATGTTTGTGGGATAGTGTGTGACAAACAGTTGTGTTTGTACCCAGGCTGGCAGGAGTAAAGGGAAGGACAGTCACAGGACCAGGACAGGAAATGTGAATGACTTTAAGTGTTAAATGATCATAGAAATGGAGACCCAGTAAACTCACAGAAATCTTGGTGTGATCAGTGTAACTTTCAGACAAAAGATGAGATATGTGACTTGAGCTATTTTTATGTAAATCTCTAGAGAAAAGTAATTTAACTGATATATAAACACACACATATATTTACATATGTATTTAGTCAATAATAAGATTTCAATACTGCAATACACATATTACCAATACTTTTTATAATGTGCTATCCAGAGCAACATTTGTAAAACTGTAGACAGGTTTTTATATCACACTAAAGAGCACCAGGTATTTATTTATTATTAATTTTTAATTTTTTTAAAGATTTATTTATTTATACAAGAGCTAGGGTACAGGACAGAGGCGGGAGGGTGAGAGAATTCACCAGAGACAGAGCTGGGAATGGAACAGGCAGACAACCGAAAACACTGCTGAGGGGAGCAGCAGGCGAGGCAGGAGAGGTCTGCCACGCCATGTGGGTATCTCCTTGGCTGATCGGGAGTCGAATCCACGCTGCACGGGCTGCAGACAGCTTCACAACGCTGAGCTCAACCCACTGCACCACCGGGGAGGCCCAAGTCCCAGGTATTTAAATAGAAGTATTTCATTAATCATATACATTTTTTCTCTATGGCTTTTGTTAAACTTCTTACCCTATGGGCAACATTGCTTTGTCAATAAATTTCCCAAATAGGTTTAGAATTCTCACTTAATTCCTCCTTGCTAACCATGAAAAAATTGTCAGAGTGGCTGAAATACATTTATAAAGCACATATGTATCATTCTGCTATACAAAAGATTCTGAGAGAGTGATCTAGAATATTTACATGGAAATACGTATAAAATTACCTGCAAATCCTTGAAAGGCTGGCCCAGGCTTACCTTTACATGGTGGATCAGACGTTCTACTTCATTCACTTTGTAGGTCTCCAGTCCTAGATCCTTGGCTAATCTTAAAATACGATTCTGGGTTGGCCCAATATAGGATCCTCCAAGGTCCACATATTTAACCTTTTGGTTCTGTTTTCCCATGGAAAAATAAAGATAAGTATTTGTGAAAATGTTATTCCTAAGTTAAAAGAGGACATTACTGAAATAAGCAAATTGGCATTTCACAGGGTATAGAAGCACCTAGAGGTATATATCATGGAAAACTGGATTCTGTTCTCAAATCTTTTTCATCCATGTGACATAGCAATTATTAAATCATTCTCTAATTTAAAGCAAAATTAATTGAACACTGAATAAGCAAGAGACTTGTGAACTCCATCATTCACAATATACCACAACATGGTTTGTTTTTTAGTGCCTTTAATTTGTAAGCTATGAACCATTGATAAATTTCTCTTAATAATTCAGGTTAACTGTGATGCACCCTGATACTAGAAGGTAAGCAAGAAAGGAAATGATCACTTCCCTTATATGGTTTGCTAATATAAATACAGACATTTGAAAAACAACATCAGGGAAAATTTGGTTATAATTTGAACCTTTGAAATTGCTTTTATGTTCAGTAGCAAATTTTCTCTATGGTTTGAATCAACTTCACTTGCAGTCACTAAGGAACAACTTTTGACCAAAAAGTGAGTAGGAAAGCTCTCTGCGTCTGAACATGTTTAAGCATAACTGGGTACTTATCACTCAGGGACACGAAAGGTCTCCCCCTTTCCTTTCTTTCTTTTTTTTTTTTTTGGCTTGTTTATTTATTGTCCAGCCCCTCCACTTACCCTCCTACCCCTCGAAAAAGAATGTAACTTTTACAAGGGCAGTGATTTTGTTTTATTCATTTTAAATAGGTATATTCCAAACACTTATTTTTGGTGCAATAAATTAATGGGCAGCTGCTAAGTGTCATAAAATGGAAAGAGAAAAGAGACAGAAGAAAGTTGAAAAGGAAGCAAATTGAAAGATAGGTAATGGAGAATGTTTCAGAGTAATTTTTCCTTTCTTGAAAAGATTCAAATGAAATTCAAGACTTTCAGAAAAAAAAATTCAATTTCAGTCCCACTTTCTCCCCTACATCTTTAATGTCTTACCCTAACGGTGTAAGTCCTGCCTCCCACACGGTCGCGGGCTTCCAGAACAACCACACTCAGGCCAGACTCATGCAGAAGTTTGGCTGCTGCCATACCTGGGAGAGAACACAATGAGAATTCAGAATCTAACATTCTCCAGGGACCCGAGATAAGCTCCTCAGGCTAACACTCAGCGAGGAAAGCCACACACATGGCTCACGGTTACATTTGGCTTACAGGTGGCCAGTGTTTCTCAGTGGAGGCCCAAATTCCAAGTTTGGCGAATCAAAAGCTATTTCTAGAATGAACAAAAAGGACTTCATTTTTGGTAAATGTCTCAAATCTTAAAAACATCTGTGGTTACTATATAAAAATGTCTATCTTTTGGGACTAAATTATATGATTGTATAACAGCACAAATAAAAACACAAGCTCACACTACAAAGAAATATATACCCCCAGCAAGAACAGGAACAAGCAGTTTAGCCACTGACTTCACTCTCAAGGAAATCAGAAAAAATAGTTAATTTGGAAGGGTGGGGAGACTGAACTCTCAAAGCATGTGAGAGGAACTAGATTTACTGCTAAAATCAGACTTTTGGAGGTTGATGTAAAGCTTCAAAACCAAGAACATTGAATTTGAACTCCTTAGGCATCCTAATTGCCCATGTGATCCATTGATATAAACGAAATGACTCCATTCACTCATTCATCCATTTATCATTAATGCAGTCAAAAATAATAAATATCTACTATATTCTCACCATCATGAATACAGCTTTAAAAAACCAGTTTTACACTAATTCAAGAGGAAACTTGCACTCCCATATTCACTGCAGTACTTTTTACAACAGCCAAGCTATGGAAAAAACCTAAATGCCCAAAAACAGACGAGTGGGTCAAGAAGTTGTGGTATAAAATGATGTAAAAATATATAAATAAATTTCAAAAAAGATGTGGTATATATATATATATATATATATATATATATATATATAATGGAATACTACTCAGTGATCAAAAAAGACAAACACGCCATTTGTGGCAACATGGATGGAGCTGGAAGGGAATATGCAAAACAAAATAAGTCAGAAGGAGAAAGAGAAATACTAGATGGTGTCACTAATATGTGGAATATAGAGAAATCAAATAATGGGTGAGATAAAGTTAAACTTAAAAACTCACCCTTGAAAGCTGACTACAGAACGGAGCTACCCAGGGCTGGGGGTGGGGGTAAGAAGAGAGGGGGAAAGGAAGGGGAGGGGAGAAAACAAAGTGGGGAGGGAGCGAGCACAATGGACTGTGATGGAGGACTATGGGTGCTTTGGTGGTAGACGCACTATGGTAAAACCACCTCAAGGAGGGGATCCTATACTTCCAAAATACAAATGGCGATATAAACCAAGATTACCTCAATAAAATAATTTAAATAAAAGAAATGACAAAATTAAAAATCAGTTTTATTGTGATATACTTACATTTAATTAACTTTACTTGGTGAGTTTAGTAAGTTTCGACAAAGAAGAAGCTCATTGTAGAGTTCATATGTGTAGTCTTGGGTATATGCACATCCTGGATAAAGTTTTTGACCTCAAGGCCTTAAACTAGCCTCTTTAAAACCACTCATACAGTATTTAGTAAGAGTTGATTCAGATAACAGAACTCTGGAGCTGTCACCACGATGAACTGAATTTGCTCAGTTCCAGTTACCTTATTCATTCTATAGAAGACCAAGGAAATGCTAAGGTAAGACACGGTACCTGACAGATATATAAAACAGCTTCTATCTTCTTAGCTTCTATCTTTCCAAAGTAACAGTTCTGGGACCTTTAGACCCTACTAGTGCAAATAATAAGACTCCAGTGGAAATATCTCATGCTACAGTGTTCACCACACTTGAGATGCTATTCGCAGTGCTTTAATTATTCAATGATTTCTCATGACAGCCGAATGAGATAAGACATCATTGATATCCTTATCTTACAGCTGAGGAAACTGAAGCACAAAAAGGTGTCCAAGGTCACATAAAGAGCCAGTGGGTGGTTTTGCTCCAACGACTGTATTGGTAACCTCTGAGCCCACTGCTGTATGCAGGGCCTCGTAACCATCCTCTTCACAGATTGCATCTCTTGATTTTGCCACTGGGAAAAATTACGTCTCAAAAGATATTTTTCACTTTATTTGGATCAACGTGTTTTAAATACACCTTTGTATCTTGTGGTTGATAAGAATCCGTGGAACATAAAATATGAACCCACATAGAAACCATAATAAAAAGCCAAGGTTTCATTCAACATCCGTTGGTTATCCAACAAGAGGAAACTCAATTTTTTTTTAAAGAGTCTGACTTGACATTTCATTATTTGAATTAATCCATCTTCTCGTTTTTCTCCTTGGGGGGAAGACAGGGCTTCCTGTTGTGGTGGGGGAAGGGCCCCCCAATCCACAGGCCCAACAACATGCAGGAACATCACACAAACTGAATTGAGGAACACATGGCTTGCATTTCTAATTCTAGTTTCCTAATTTTCTTTTTTACCTCCATAAGAAAGAGAGAACATTTCTATGTAGATTCAAAATTGCAGACAATTCAGTCATTTTTCTTATCAGGCATGAGTTCAACAAATAAAATATGACACAATATGCAGCCATAGTAACAGCTGTTATCAGAGAATTCAGACAGACCTACTGAGCCTGCTGAGGCTTAAACAAAAGCTTCAGAACGAAATACAACATCACTGCTATACACCAGCATTTTATATTCCATAAAAGGTACTGTCTTTGAGAAGTACAGTTACCTAGTAGTATCTGATGTTAAACATAATCAGTTATATAAACAATTCAGAGTCTTAGCAAATCACTGAAAGAGTTCTCTATGCTCGTGTGCCTTTAAAAGTCATAAACAGAAAAAGAAAAAAGTGTCTTTAAATAGGGCAATACAGAGCATATTGTTGAAAATACTAATGTTCATAGGCAGTTTTCAAACTGCTTGTTTGACATCACATGACAAAAAACCTGATTTGACCCAAATAATGGTGACTGAGGGATTGCGACTGCAATTTAGAGGGTGGAAGACTTAGTGTATCTACACCTGAAACTGAAGGGATGGAGTGTGCACAGGAGGGGACTAGAATTGTTAAGAAGTAGCTCGAAAGCGATTTCTCCTTGATGATGTGTAAAATGATTAACGATATGTCTGATCGAAGAATAAGCAAATCATTAACTACACAGCGTCTCCCTGGCACACAATGGGATTGTTTTCCAACAGTTCATTTCTGTGTCAGTTGTTTGGAACTTTTAACACATTTTCCCATTGAACTTAATGTATACAGATGCTGATGTATAATGATGCATGCCTGAAATTTCTATAATGTTACACCAATAAAAATATGAAATTAATAACAAAAACATGCGAGATGGTACATTCTCTGGGATGTCTTGGAATTCTGAAATACAATATGACTGGGGGAGGGAATCTAAATCATAAAGCAGCAGAAATACATTTGCCCTAAGAATACTAGCCAATGTATTGGTACTGTTTAAACATTTATGCACTCATTTCCTGACACAATGCAAAAACAGTTAAAAAAAAAGAAAAAAAAAGAAAACACCCACAATTATAACAGCTCATCACAATTATAACAGCCTATCACAAAGCATTGAGCACTTGCTTTGGTCTGTAGGAAGAGTTTGCACACAAAGCTCACCTGATCTTCACTGCAGTGTGGGGAGGTGAGTATTATTAGCCTCATTTTAAAATGAAGAAAATGGAGGCTTAAGACATTCACTGACTCTCTATAGAAAATGAGAGGATCAGAGATCAACCCCCTACCTGACTTAGCCACTGCACTCAGATCAAAAGGGAAAAAATTTAAAATGTAGCAACTCTATACATTGATGGGTGCAAAGCTTCTTAAGATGTTCTCTCCTTCTGATAATAAGAATCTTAACATATCAGTTTTTCTCATAGTGATTTTTTTGCAAACAATTTAGGAACAACCTTATAACCACTTTGTAGTTTTAAAAAGCTAACTAAACTTGAGTATAATATACAGGATCTATAATATTTCACACATGAATTATCATTCAGCACTTTTGGAAGCAGCCCCTCTAGCCCCCGACAAGATCATCTCATTTGATGCCTCCAAGTGGTGCAGATTCCATAGTATTGTGACTCTAAGAGTCTCCCTGGAGTGAATAATCATAGCCTGGCACATCTGCATAATGGTAGATGAATGCCTAATGCCACAAAATTAAAAAAATATTGCATCTCTCTTTCTGAGTAGTTTACTTAGAAAAGATTGCATTAAAGTGATAATTAACTCAATCATTTGTATACCTCAATTTGGATTAGAGAACCAAATTATTTTAAATACCTAGAAATCAGTGGTGCAACCATTATTAGCATAGCATGTTTCCAGTTTTGGTCATGGAAAAAGACCTGAGAGTTAGAATCTGTAGAAACTGGTAAGTACACACTACGGATAGTGAAAAGGGCTGCTTCAAGGTGTCTTAAGAGAACTGGGGAATGAAGATATGAAGGGAAGGGAAAAAATGAAATCATTATCTGCCTCATCCTTTGCTTCATCCATCTGTCTCATGTCCTTCATACCAAAGTCTGATATTTAGCAAAACTTTGTAACTATTTTAAAGTCTTAATTTAACTATCTTAAAAACATTAGGAAACAACATTGCTTCCATAAGGACTTCTTCTTGCCAGTTTAAAGTTACAAAAGTGGCCTCCGTGGTGGCACAAGGGATTGAGTCGCAACCTATGAAGCAATCCACAGCCACTGAAGCACGAGTTCGAACCCTGGGCAAGGAGTTAAACACAGGGCACAACAGACCTCTCCTGACTCGCCCGCTGCTCCCCTCAGCAGTGTATTTCAGTCAGTTTGCCTGTTCTGTTCCCCATTCTGTCTCTGGTGAATCCTCTCACTCCCCACACCTCTGGCCTGTACCCCAGTTCTTGTATGCATAAATAAATAAATCTTTTAAAAATAAAGTTACAAAAAAGAATCTTAACCAAAATTGATGCAAGTTACTGTACCTCAAAGCACCTCTAATCTTATAACCCTGGCAGAGGATATAGGCACAACTCCAGGAAGGAAAAAAG